AACCACTGTTTCCTTTTTCACATGTTTATAGGGTGCAGCTTCCGCCCATTTAGAAAAATATCAGTGGCAGCCAAGATATACAAGTGGCCCTTTGAAGACTTGTCTAGAGGACCAACTATATCTAATCCCCATACATCAAATGGCTATGACGTCACAATAGGGTGCAATTGTTCTGGTGGTTGGTGTATGAAGTTAGCATAGAATTGACAGGCTTGACACCTCTTCGCATACTCTATGCAGTCCTTGACCATGGTGGGCCAATAATAACCCATTCTTTTGACACGAAAGTGAAGCTTTGGACCAGATTGATGGGCTCCATAAATCCTAGAATGTGCCTCCTTCATTGCATGGGTTGCTTCGTCATTTCCAAGGCAGCGAAGGAAAAGACCCTCATATGAATGTCTATACAATGTATCGTTGTAATAGATGAAACGAGGTGCTCGTTTTCGTATTTCAGTCTTGTGGCGTAGGCCTTCGGGAAGCTTTCCATGTTCCAGATAATCAATGATAGGGAGCCTCTAGTCTTCTTCCTCTTATGTCTAGCAAGAAACCAAATTACTTTCTTCATATTTATCTTCCAAGACTTGTGGCAAGACCCATCGTTGACATACAGGAACATCAACCAGGTCCTCATTAGTTAACGCCAATGTTGTAGCTAAATTTGCCAAAGCATCCACTATCCGATTTTATTTCCTCGGAATGTGTTCTAGCATGACACTATCAAACCGTTTCAACAAACGAGAGGCATAACGATGGTACGGCACTAGATCATCTTTCTTAACCTCATATTCTTGAAGAAGTTGGTTAATCACCAACTTAGAGTCTCCATATATTTCGAGATCCATGATTTTCATCTCATTTGCCATTTGAAGGCCAATGATCAGGGCTTGATATTCAGTTACATTATTTGAGCAGTTTTTAGCGAGTGCAAAAGAGTATGGAATAACATATCTTTTTGGAGAGACAAACACTACTCCTGCTCCGACCTCGTCTGCTCTTGCTGCCCCATCGAAAAATATCATCCATGGAGGGAGGATGTCCACAAAGAAGATTTCTTCATCAGGAAAATCTTCAGAAATTTCCCAATCGGCTGGAATAGGATGGTCAGCTAAGAAATCTGCCAGGACTTGTCCTTTCATTGCTTTTCATGGCACATAAACAATTTCAAATTCGTTGAACAAAATTGACCACCTCGCCAAGCGTCCGGAAAGGACCGGTTTAGACATGACATATTTGAGAGGATCAGCCCTTGCAACAAGATGTATCATATAAGCCAAGAAATAATGCCTCAATTTCTTATAGGCGAAGACAAGTGCGAGGCATGTTTTTTCAATTGGAGGATAATTTCGCTCCGTCGAGGTGAGTCTGCGACTTAAGTAATACAATTCATTTTCTTTATGTTCTTCATTATTCTGAGTAAGTAAGGCACCCAACAATTCTTCTTGCGCAGCAATGTAAAGTATGAGCGGCTTTCCAAGTACAAGTGCTCCCAATACCGGAGAATTGAGAAGGTACTTTTTGATGCTATCAAAAACATTTTGGCAAGATTGGTCCCAGATGAATGGGGCGTCTTTCTTCATGACTCGGTTAAAAGGCTGGCAATGGCCAGCTAAATTTGAGATGAACCTACGAATGAACGCAAGTTGACCTTATAAACTTTGAAGCTCGTGTAAATTCTTTGGTGGCGGCATCTTTTGAATGGCCTCCACTTTATTAGGATCAATCTCAATACCACGATAATGTACAACGTATCCCAGGAATTTCCCTGAAGTCACACCAAATGCACATTTAAGAGGATTCATCTTGAGTTGAAATTTTCAGAGGCGATTAAAAACTGTATGTAGATCCTGTAAATGATCCCTTCGTTCTTTCGTCTTAACCACCAAGTCATTAACATAACATTCAACAATCTTGTGCAGTATGTCGTCGAAGATCCTTTGCATGGCGCGCTGGTATGTTGCTCCTGTATTTTTGAGTCCGAAAGGCATAACTTTGTAGCAATATATGCCTTTAGGAGTGCGAAAGGCAGTTAGTTCCTTATCTTTCAGAGTCATTCTTATCTGATTGTACCCGAAGTAATAATCCATGAATGAGAAAGCTTATGCCCTATGGTTGCATCTATACTGAGTTCAGGGATGGGAAGAGGAAAATTATCTTTTGGGCATGCCTCATTCACATCACGAAAGTCCACACAAATTCGAATCTGTCCATTTTTCTTCTTCACTGGAACGATGCTCGAAATCCATGTTGGATATTTGACCTCACGAATGAACCCTACTTCAATCAATTTGTTGAGTTCTTCCTCTATCCTCGGAACTAGCTCTGGACGAAATAAATGTTGAGACTACTTAATCGGAAGTATCCCATGTTTGACAGCAAGATTGTGCACTGCAATTTCAGGATCAAGACTGGGCATCTCTTTGTATGTCCAATTGAAGACATCCTTGTACTCAGACAACAATTGAAAGTAATCATTTTCTTCTGAGGGGCTCAGGAATGCACTAATGAAAACTGGTCTGGGTTGATCATCAGTCACTAAGTTGATTTCTCTGAGTTAATCAACGGTAGCCTCCCCCGTCTTCTAGTGTTGGTGGAGCTTTCTCGATGTCATCTGGTTGTTCATAGTCAGGTTCCTCTTCAACAGTAATGTGGTATGAAGTAACATAAGATGATTCGCCAATGTCTTCTGTTTTATCCACTTCTTTTACTTGATTAGTGAATACAACGGTTCGCCTTCGAGCTTTTAATGTAACATCATTGGTAACATCTACCTCTGTCTTACGTTTCATTCGCTAGGGCACTAGGCTCCGAACTTCACTATTGTTCACCACGTCGATGTTAGTTTTCTCTGACTTTCCACTCTTGCTGCTTCTTAGTGGTGCATCATTAACAGTACCAATCCGATTAAATACTGACTTTCGAGATTGAGGTTGTGAAGATTTTCTTCCTTGGTCATGAAAGCTCATTCTGTTAAAAACAGAGGTACGAGACAAACTGTTGACATGAGAACTTGAGACATTTGACTTTTGGCTTGACAACCTATTGAATACAGATGCTCGATCATATAGAGCTCCTATACGATCGAAGACTGATTTTTAATGCATAGTCTGTTGGTCTTGTTCATCTTTGACTTCTTCAAACCCAATGTAAAAAGTGTTTGACTTCTTATCCTTTTTTGTGATCTGAATTCGAAGTGGCTCAAAATGTACGAAACCGATACCAGACTTAGGTGGAATGATTTTATGCCCTTGATCTTTCAACTTCTTCTGTGTCTAATTGAGGCCATGCATTTTCTCACCGGTGACCTCTGAATTCAGTTTCCCAAGGTTTGCAGGATTTGTAAAATCATACCCCGATTTAGCCATGAGTTGGTATGCTTTAGGATCGAATCCTTCATCAATCCTTTGTTTTGGAAGTGATCCATGATTGACCCGAGATTGAGAAGGCCGTATGAACCCTTTTAACAGAGGCTTGGAAGACGAAGACTTTTGAATATTGGTGAGAGGAAGAGTTAACTCTCTTTTCAGTTTTTGCACATCTTCTTTTTCTTTGGTTTGTGACATCTTCAATTTAAATTCCTTGGTTTCAAGTATCTCAAAGACAGGTGACTGCCCTTCTTGTCGCTGAGATTTTGGAACATACTTTAAAATAGGTTTTGTCCGATGTGCTTTTATCAAGACCCCTCTCGTTTTAGCTACCTTTACAATGTCTGTCACTGAAACATCTAATGGATCACTTAACGCTTCTTTTGTTTTTGTAGATTAAACCTCTTGTGTAGATGGATGGCTTGAGATGGGCACTTCCAAAGGTGTATCATGATCAATATAGAACTTGACATTGACAAAATGAGATTCTGCTTCCGTAAATGGTTTATGGTCCGCCATAACCGTTTGTACGCCATTCTTGTAGAATTTGAAGCACTGATGAAGAGTCGATGGAATGACACCATTACTATATATCCAAGGCCTTCCCAATAACAAATTATAGGACGTTTTTGCATTAATAACGTGGAATATCTCAGCTTAGAGCTCACCAATAATCAGTTTTGCCCGAATCATGCCAATAGTTCTCTGTCTTCCTTGGTTAAAACCTTGAATAATCAAATGGCTACGAGATAACTCGTCGACCGTGATGCCGAGATTTTTCATCATAAATTTTGGCATGAGATTCACCGCTAATCCACCATCAACAAGAATTCGAGTAACTCTTTGTTCTTTTATGTAACCAGAGACGAAAAGAGGACAATTATGCGGCTTTGAACCCAACTGAAGATCTTCATCAGTGAAAATAATTGGTGCATAACATGAATCTAGTATACCTATGACTACTTCATCATCATCGGACTTTTCAATGATGGCTGCATCCTTTGCATGATTCTCCACAGTCTGGGCTTCATCTTAATCCTTGCTATTCTTACCATCAGGGCTCGTTTTAGTTAAAACCATGTAAGCTGTCACAATTTTGTCATCTAGATATCCTTCTGGAAAGAACTCTTGCAAAGTAATGGGCTTCTGGATCCTTTTGCTTATAGAGGCGTGTTTGATTGACTGTGTCTTCTTGACCCATTTTCTGTTATAGCTAGACTCCTTATAGTGATATTAAGGTTTCTTCTTCCTTTGCCCCCTGTCAGAATAACTAGTCCAAAAAAATGTCAGCTCGTTGCTTCCGTGGTTTCTTTCTTGTCACCAGAGTCCATCATTCTTCATTATCCTGAGGAAAGACCCTTCCAAAGGTTAAAACGTTAAGTGCACTCCCTTTGCCAAGAGAAATGAGGATTGGTTCTAATGAGCCAAACTGGATGATTGTGCAATATACCTCAGAAGTTGAAGGTTGGGAACGAGCACTCCCCACAACAGAGGTTGTCATAGTAGCAGTAGTATGATTTGAAGTTACAACTTTGTCCGTGTCCAACAAGATTTTTCCTTATTTTACTAGATTCATCACCACCTCCTTGAAGATAAAACACTTCTCAATTGGATGACTGACAATACGATGGTGCATTATTTTGGATCGTTGACACGTCCCATCTCTTGAGGGCGTTTGCATTCAGGGAGTTCTATAACGTTACTTTTGAGTAAACATTCCAAGATGCCAGGGACATCGAAATCGGGGAAGGGGTAGTCCTTCTTCTCTAACTCCTTTAGCGTAGGACGTTGTCTTTCCCTCTTTTGAAATTGGCGAGGCTTTTTATCATCCTTCTTGTCATCTTTAACAAATATCTTAATTGGGGTGGTTGAGATAGCCATGGAATCTTTAGCAGCAGTCTTTGACGACTTATCGCCCTTCTTCCAGTCTTTCTTATCCTTGCATGGTTCTATGGCCATGGGACTTTTGCCTTTATAGGATTTCATACTGATCTCCATGTTATGGGCACACGTAGCCAATTCTTCGAATGTGTGAGGTTTTATACTTTGTAGAATGTAAAGAAGGCCCCAATGCATTTCCTGCATACACATCTCCATAGTAGAGATTTCTGACAATTGGTCCTTACAGTCAAGACTGAGTGCTCTCCACTGATTAATGTAGTCGATTACATGCTCATCCTTCCATTGCTTCATGTTAGTCAACTCTATCATACTAACAGTACGACGAGTGCTATAGAACCTGTTCAAGAATTCTCGTTCCATTTGGTCCCAACTATCAATTGACTCTGACTTTAGGTCGGTGTACCACTCGAACACGTTTCATTTAAGAGAGCGGACAAACTGTTTAACTGGTAAGTCCCCTTCTGTTCCGCCATTGTTACAAGTCTTGACAAAATGGGCAATGTGTTGCTTGGGGTTACCTTTTCCGTTAAATTGATGAATCTTCGGAGGTTGGTATCCTACATGTATCCTCATACTGTCGATTCTCCTTGTATAGGGCTTTGAGTACATGAGAGTGCTCTGTGATACGCCTCCATATTGGGCTCGAATTGTATTCGTTATCATATTTTTCAATTGTGCGACAGATAATAAAGAGACTAAAGAAGCATAATTGGTTTGACTAGTTGCCTGTTCTGTTACCGGCGTTTGGTTTTGACTAGTTGCCTGTTCTGTTACCGACGTCTGGTTTTGACTAGCCGTCTGTTCTATCACCGGCGTCTGTTTGGGGTCCTCCATGCGAGTACCTTGTGTGGTAGAATTAGGATTCTCCGTCGGCATTACTGTGGAAGATGTAGGATTCCCAGACAGTAGTGGTGAGAAAGTTGCACGATTCCCAGTTGGCGGTGCTGTAGAAGATGTAGGATGCCCAGATTGTACTGGTGATTCACCGAAGGTCTGAACTTCCAATTTGTTCATCAGCGTAGCGATTTGTAAGTCCTTTTCTTCAACAGTCTTTGTGAGGTTCTCAATGGCACGAGACATAGTTGCTAGTTGTTCCTCCATCGTGGCAACTCCAGTCATCATAGCAGCGACCACATTTGAGTATGATAGGCCTTGAGAGTCAATGTTTCTTGAAGTGATTAAATGCTCCGAAGTCTGACGTGGTGACTCTGGGGGTGAACCGACACTAGAGTGAGCATCATGGATGGAATGAGGTGAATCTGGCGGCGGAATCTCCTCTGGAACAACGTCAATGTGAATGACGTGATTGCCTGGGACTTGCTACGTGTCATAGGGCCCGCCAAGGTACTTCCATCACTTGATTTGGCCTTCGTGCCGCTTTTCATGGTCGCTTTGGCGTCGACCTTTGCAGTAGCAATGTTCTTTTGGGCTTTTTTGTCTGTCGGAGTCTTAGGGGGAGCCATAGAATCTGACAGAGATGAAACTTAATGGTAGGAGAGAGATAAGAGGCAAAGGATGTCCCACCGGGCATGCCAGAAATTTGTACACATAAATTTTGTTCTCTGCAAATAAAGACAAAATATGGGCAAAATAATTATTTATTAAATCAAAAATATTTGGAGTGCAATCCTTTGTGATATCTTTTACAAAAAAGAATGGTCCTCTGATTCGATCTCCTTTTTGTTGTTGGTTGGATACAAGAGCTGCACGAGCTTGTTCTTGAATCACCGTGGAATTTAAATGAAGAACGGCACGATTTGATGTGCTTGTTGTTCTTCATCTTGAGGATTTGTTGAATTTGGTGAAGAAATGGATTTCTAGACTCTAAATTTGTATCTGAATTTCTGGACTTCTGAATTCTGAATTTGTGTCCTTTGTTGAATTTGAGGAAGAACGGCATGTCTTTGAATGTGTTTGGTGTTCTTCACCTTCAGGTTTGCCTTCGGGATTTCTGGCCCTCTAGATTTCTGATTCTCTCAATTTCTGCACCTCTGGATTTCTGAGTCTCTGGATTTTTGGACTCTGAATTTGTGTCTCTGACTTCTAAGTCTCTAGATTTCTGAGTCTCTGGATTTCTGAATTCTTAATCTCTGGATTTCTGGATTTTGAATTTGTGTACCCCTTTTTCCTTCCTTCAGGCCTCTATTTATAGGCTTCTTGGATTCATAGGATGATGACACGTGTCATCTCTTAATAAGGATAAAATCATAACTGGGCCGAGCTGGTTATATTATAATAATTATCCTTAAAAATAATTATTCCAAATATATTTTATTAGGAATATTATCTTTTCATTTAATCATCTAGGCTGGGCTAATTAAATAATTTAGGTGGACCAAGCCTGGACCAATTAAATAACTTAATTAAACATTAGTCCCATATTTAATGGGTCTATTTGTTAAAACCAAAGCCCACTAAATTTTAGTGTCTACACTCACTCACACATTTCATTGAAGACTTGACTGAATCGAAAGCACAACCAGAAGATCCAGAAACCCAATTCAATTCCTCTTGATTTTCACCAAATTGGGTTTTTGATGGCGTCGGTATTATTTGGAGAGGCTGCTTTGGGAGTAGCATTTGGTGAACTACTGAGAGCTTTTCTGGAGGTCAAAGACAAAGCCATCAACTTCAAGTCCATACTCGACCGATTCGAAACAACTCTGAATCTAATCGAACCAATTATACGTCAAATCCAGCTATTAGACTGAGAATTGAACCATTCGGAGAAAGAAACCAAAATATTCACAGACCAGTCGTTAGAGGCCACGAAGCTTGTCCTCAAGTGCGTTGGAATTTCTTCAAGAAGGCTTCCTGTTGGAATAAGCTCAAAGAATCGGACGATTCGCTCATTAAATTATTTCAGATCTACGCGCAAGCTATGCAGACAAGGGATAACAAGAAAATTCAGGCGAACCTAAACGAAATACGTGCGAAACTGGATGGGTTTGTGGTCCGAATCCGTTTATAGGTTTGTGTCAAGCTCTGGAGTTCCAGCTTTTACCGTTGGATTGGAGTTGCCTCTTCAATAAGACGTTTGGATACACAGGAGAGGGAAAAAAAGAAAAGAAAAAAAGGGAAGGATAATTATGATTTTTATTTATATTTTAATAAATAAGAAAGAAAAGAAAGAAATAGATAATATTGTTGTTTGGATATCATAAATGAGAAAAAAGAAAGAAAAGATAATAATTAAATTACCATTTTATCCTTTTTTGTCGGGTTAGTTGGGCAAATCATTTCAGCCTCCTCAATCGCCTCCATTTCTCTCTATTCTCGTTTTCAGATCTGAACTTGCCCTCTCTCTCTCTCCCTCTGCTACTACAAACTACAAAATCTACAAGAATCAGAAGTTCAAAACACATATATTGCAGTTTATCTATCTGTCTGCAAAAATCAAAAGTTCAAAACCTATTACGTATATCAAAACCCTTATCGGCATATCATTTTAGATTGTTCCAAAAATCAAAACCCATATCCTTCTATTTCCATCGTCGGCTGTTTCGGGTTCGCCGTTCACAAGCTTCAGTTGCTGTCTCTCAACTCTCAAGCTTGCCCCCCTCTCTCTATAACTGCTAACTTGTATGTATGGGTTTTGTTTTAAATTTTTTTCTAAATCAACTAATCAAGGTCTGTAATTCTTGTTTTGCAAACTAAATCATGTAATCTCAATTTTATATAAATCATTAGAAAAGAAGAAGCTCGTGCCACCGAGGTTTAATCTTGCCCCCAATTCGTAGAAGAAGCTTGTGGTCATCAACATCCAGATCGTAACATGGAGGGATACTGTGATACCCCTCGGATCCAAGACATGGGTTGATCAGCCCCAGGCCCAAACCCGAGGAAATATCTAACAATTAATATTTTATAATGAACACGGAATACAAAATGAATTAAGAGATGAAATTAAAGCTGAAAGGAACTAAAAATAGAATCCGCAAAATATTATAATTATTAAAATCCATCAAACCCAAACTCCAAAACTCCATCAGTTTACAACTAGGGAATCCATCTCTAGTGGACCCCTATTAAACATCCAAACGGAAATAAAACAACTGTAATAAATATCCAGAAATAAACTATGGAGAGAATCATACATCGTCGGAAGAGTGAATAAAGACCTCTGCTCAGCATGAACACGTCTAAGCCTGCAACTGTCGTGTACCTGAAAAATAGAAGTGGGTCAGGCCCACACGCAAGTTCTATACTACTACAATCCAAACAGAGGCCCGATACGCATGTACATCCTAAACAATTCAACACTAGCTAATAGTCCGTAAATATATATATAGTCACACTAAAGGACTCTCACTAGACTACAGGCCGGTCTCAACCTGAATAGAGGTAACATGCTAAAACGCACACAAAGTGGGCATATGTACCTATACCTAAATAGGGTACACCTTTAACCATCGTATCCAGCTATGCATCCCAATGCATATACGCTCCCTAACTGTCGATCTTGAGACTTAAGCTCATATCGAGGTACCATAACAATATATTTAAAGTCCATTCCAAATCAATCCTAGTAGTGCCGCTCAACTAGTCGTTGCTATGACACTACAATTAATAGGACTTAACTTTTAGTTAATCCAATTTTTAATCTAGAGTAGGTAGGTTTTGGTATTTTGAAACCAAACCATCCCTAGCATACCACCGTCCCATACTGGTGTATATTATCCAATCATCCAGCAGTTGATAATATCAACAATTAAAGTAAACATCAGTTAAATCCATATTTCCATTACTAATACTAACAGGCATAGTGTAAGCATCAATAAAAAGAATAAGATATATACATAAACCGATTCAGTTTTATATCCAACACTGATACTAACAGACATAATGTAAGCATCAAGAATCATAGTCACTGTATATACACAAACTTACTCAGTTTAGGTTGTTTCATTCAATCAGATATAATGATAAGATTATTTTAAATTATCATTCAATACTCAGCAGTTGATATTACAGACATTTAAGATATCCATTAACAAAGTCCATTCTTCCAACAGTTGATACTAATAGTATTAATGCAAGCATCAAGATAGAACCACAGTAGGTACATCTAACTACTTAGTTTAGGTTGTTTTACAAAATTTAAGAATTATTATTCTTCAACACTACCATATTCTAAACAAGTGTAATTCAGATACATACTCATGATATAGAATTATACATGTTCCAATTATATCATTCGTCTCAAAAGATTTTAGAATTAAACACAGTGTACTCACAGAATTTAACACTATGGAACTACCTGTTTAAAACCCTACTATCCAAACTTTTATATGCAAGTAGACTTAGTTAACACCACCTCTGAAGCTTTAATTTATCTCTATACATTACTTAGACCTTCCATATTCAATTATGCACTCAATTGAAAACTCCAAAATCAACCATTGCATGCAAAACTGACTGGAAACGAAGAAAATTATAAAAACTGAGCAAGGAGACGTTTCCAAAAATTGGAGCCACCTCTTTTAAACCTTGGAGCCGGCTCTAATTTCTTGGAGCCGCCTCCACACTAAGGGGAGCTGGCTCCCTCCCTCTCTGCTTCATCGTTCCCTCCTCCGATGAACTCTACAGCCTCTACACCTCATTGTTATGACTTCCAAATCCTGTAACCTAACCCTAGTGTGTTCCCAGTCCGTGTTTAAGTCCTTATACCATTATTAATCGTGAATTTAAATCAAGAATTATGCACACAACTATCAAGTTTTAACAGTATAACAACCATGCAACACATACTGATGTGTATCAAACTTTAGCACGAACAGAGAAACTTTTTAAGTTACAATTAATCCTGAAACAGTTTAGGAATGCAAAGAACACGAAGCCTAAGGGAGAGAGTAAGGATAGAACTTACCTTTGAGATCTTTGTTCAAAATCTCTACGCCGTCTTCTAAGACCTCCGGCGAACACAATTGTTGTAAACCTCCTCTGTTTCTTTCTCTGCTACTTCCACAGACGTGTGTTGGTTTTCTTTTCTTTCTGTTTTTTATTTGTTTGTA